GTTAACCAGTGCTACCTTCCAAGCAATTCCAGCTTCTAAGCATTATCGCAAGCACCAGTATTCTTCAGACTTAACATGAAAATTTCTTCCTCCAAACTTTGCTCAATTGAAAAAACTACAGTAACCCCATATGTATACTGGCATGACTTGCAGTTTCAAAGCTATCGACATTAACCGTATTTCTGGGGCAAGATCCTCAAACGATAATAAATTACGAAGCTTCCCCAGATTAGGTTGCTAATAATAAACCAGTAAGGCAGGCACGTACTGCTTTCCTTCCATTATAAACCCACACATAGAGTCGCCTACTGGTACACGACACAGACCTACACGAGGACAAAACCCGTGGTTGCAAAACTTTCTCGACGCCTCACAATAAACTTGTATCTACCTAATTCGAGGACAACTTACGAATTGTCATAAAACTAAATTTGCGTTTACTCTAAAAGTTAACATTACTAAAAACCAAAAGTACTTTTTATACCATATATATATATATATATATATATATATATGAGTGAGCGGTAGTCATTGCCAAAGCCAACGACCAGTTGGGTACGAAATACAATTAATTGTTAATTGGGAAATTGGCAAAACTCGTAGGCTTAAGTTGACTCTTTTGACGATAAAATCAAGCTTTCGGCATTCTCTATGGAGCCTTCATCAGGATTCTGAAAACACAATTGTGATGCTAGCAAAGAAAGCAGGACAGATTTAAATTGTCAGACAACTTACTCGTCGGTGAGGTTGCAGCCACAAGGTGTTTCAGAGCGAACGTAGAGAAGATCGAAATTATAATCAATATAAAACCAAAAGGACGGGGACATTGGGTATATTGTAAAACGACAGATACCTTTGTTAAATGTTAAAAATATCAATCCACCCGAACAAGTTAAAAATATTACACGTGAGACGACATTTTGTTGAAACAACCGGAATGCCGTCTCTAACCTTCTGTATCCGCAACACGTGGAGAGGGGGACGGCACGGAAAGATAAAGCGTCGACAGATGACAAGTGATTGACGCGACGGACCGTGGAACTGTAAACCTCCCTGTCCAGCTTTGGGTATGAAGTATACGAGGGACGCTCGGTAAACCTCCACCCAAAATTACTAAAATGCTGAATTAACTTGTCTTGGAAAAATTGTGTAGTTCATATGAGTGTAAGAATGTGTGATATTGATACAACCTTGAAAAGATGGGTTATGTGAGTTTATATTAAAAGTGTGAGTGAGAAAATATATTCCAATTTTGTGAAGATGTTGGTTCAATTTTGATGTGTAGCCGTTCTAGCTTTTCGCAATTCAACAGGTAGGAATAAATGACACTGAACTGCTTGACATCAGCCTTTTTATTCATGCAATGATCTGTCATGAAAATGTGGGACATTTCCAGAAATAAACATTTTGAGAGTCTTTTTTCTTTATCAAGAACCTCATCACTGCCATAATTCATGGAGTGACCTGTGTTGTTCATATGCGATGCCAAAGCAAATCTCTCTGGATGAAATCTGGCGTCACTTTTGGGTGAAGTTATCCTGCCTTTCATCGACCTAGAAGTTTGGCCTATATAAACTAAATTACAGTTGTTGCAATTAATACGATAGACAGTATTGGTTGAATCAAGCAACTGAACCTTATCTTTCATTTTGGACAACAAACTGTTGACTGTAAGCACTGATTTACAAGCAAAACGACAGTTAAAGGAATTATATAGCCTGATCAATTTTGGTGTTAGCTCTTTGATATATGGCAAAACAACATAATTAGCTCTGGGAATAGGAGTAACCACTGTAGTGCTGTTGTTCTCATTAGTTGGAGAAGTAATGGATGTCTGGTTGGACTGACCAGTGTTGTCATTTTCACTATTGTTATTAGTCATTGTCAAAATATTCGGAGGAGAGCTGAACAAGATTCTGTTGATTGATTGTCATCTTCTTTTTCGAAGGTGAACTGGATGTAGGGATGATAACTGTTAAAAACCTCAACAATATCATCCGCCCTATTATAAGGAAGACAAACGATTATATCGTCCACATACTTTTTTATGAAAATTAGATTGTATGGCAATACTTGAATAACAACATCAAGCAGGTCATCCATTACATATTCTGCCAAAATTGGAGATAAAACAGCCCATGGGGCAGCCATGTGTTTATGAAAACACTTTGTTATTAAAGGTAAAATAGTTGTTCTGGAAAAGGTACTCTACAATATTGATGAAAGAATCCAGAGTTAGGTTGCTGTGTTGGCAAATTAGATCCCAATGTTTGTTGATGGATCTGATGCAAGCTTCTAAATACACCTTGCTGAACAGTGAAACTACATCTAGACTCGCAATAACATGAACAGGGGGTATTTGAAACCTATTAAATTGTTGACAAACATCAAAAGAGTCTTTTATAAAGTATTCTCCTTTGATGTGAGCTGGCTTTAGAATATCTGCAATCAATGAAGATAAAGCTAGTGTGGCCATTCTTCCCTTAATGCACAAACCGGTACTGTCAGTAATACCGATTGTGACTTCTGTTGAATCAGCCACACTAGCTTTATCTTCATTGATTGCAGATATTCTAAAGTCAGCTCACATCAAAGGAGAATACTTTATAAAAGACTCTTTGGATGTCTGTCAACAATTTAATAGGTTTCAAATACCCCCTGTTCTTGTTATTGCGAGTCTAGATGTAGTTTCACTGTTCAGCAAGGTGTATTTAGAAGCTTGCATCAGATCCATCAACAAACATTGGGATCTAATTTGCCAACACAGCAACCTAACTCTGGATTCTTTCATCAATATTGTAGAGTACCTTTTCCAGAACAACTATTTTACCTTTAATAACAAAGTGTTTTCATAAACACATGGCTGTCCCATGGGCTCTGTTTTATCTCCAATTTTGGCAGAATATGTAATGGATGACCTGCTTGATGTTGTTATTCAAGTATTGCCATACAATCTAATTTTCATAAAAAAGTATGTGGACGATATAATCGTTTGTCTTCGTTATGATAGGGTGGATGATATTGTTGAGGTTTTTAACAGTTATGATCGCTACATCCAGTTCACCATCGAAAAAGAAGATGACAATCAATCTGTTCCCTTTTTGGATTCAAGATTGATTCGTACCAATGACAATATATTACTGGTAGACTGGTACAGGAAACCAATTTCTTCCGGAAGGTTCCTGAACTTCGGGTCTTACCATGAACTTAAAATAAAAATAAACTTGGTGAAACAAATGAAGAACAGGGTTATAAAAATCTCTGACAGTACATCAGCGCTCACAGTCAACAGTTTGTTGTCCAAAATGAAAGATAAGGTTCAGTTGCTTGATTCAACCAATACTGTCTATCGTATTAATTGCGACAACTGTAATTTAGTTTATATAGGCCAAACTTCTAGGTCGCTGAAAGGCAGGATAACTTCACACAAAAGTGACGCCAGATTACATCCAGAGAGATGTGCTTTGGCATCGCATATTAACAACACATGTCACTTTATGAATTATGGCAGTGTTGAGGTTCTTGATAAAGAAAAAAGACTCTCAAAACGTTTATTTTTGGAAATGTCCCACATTTTCATGACAGATCATTGCATGAATAAAAAGGCTGATGTCAAGCAGCTCAGTGTCATTTATTCCTACCTGTTGAATTGCGAAAAGCTAGAACGGCTACACATCCAAATTGAACCAACATCTTCACAAAATTGGAATACATTTTCTCACTCACATTTTTAATATAAACTCACATAACCCATATTTTCAAGGTTGTATCAATATCACACATTCTTACACTCATATGAACTACACAATTTTTACAAGACAAGTTAATTCAGCATTTTAGTAATTTTGGGTGGAGGTTTACCGAGCGTCCCTCGTATACTTCATACCCAAAGCTGGACAGGGAGGTTTACAGTTCCACGGTCCGTCGCGTCAATCACTTGTCATCTGTCGACGCTTTATCTTTCCGTGCCGTCCCTCTCTCCACGTGTTGCGGATACAGAAGGTTAGAGACGGAATTCCGATTGTTTCAACAAAATGTCGTCTCACGTGTAATATTTTTAACTTGTTCGGATGGATTGATATTTTTAACATTTAACGAAGGTATCTGTCGTTTTACAACATACCTAATGTCCCCGTCCTTTTGTTTTTATACTGATTATAATTTCGATCTTCTCTACGTTCGTTCTGAAACCCCTTGTGGCTGCAACCTCACCGACGAGTAAGTTGTCTGACAATTTAAATCTGTCCTGCTTTCTTTGCTAGCATCACAATTGTGTTTTCAGAATCCTGATGAAGGCTTCATAGAGAATGCCGAAAGCTTGATTTTATCGTCAAAAGAGTCAACTTATGCCTAAGAGTTTTGCCAATTTCCCAATTAACAATTAATTGTATATATATATATATATATATATATAAATATATATAAGTGGACCACATTTCACAATGTATCCTAATCCGCTGAATATGGTGATTCCCGAACGAGTCAACTTACTTGACGTTATTGCATGTTGAGGTGTTTCACCCTCCCAAATGGATAGCATTTCACAAACGCTCGCGAAATGTATCTTATCAGGTAATTATTAAAGCTTCTAAACGGTCAACAACTATCTCTCTCTCTATTACCGGCAGTCACATATCAAACAAAGTGAACTTTGAGAAAAACCAGTTGACAAATGTGCGATCCTCACTCTGTATGAGCTAAATGAGGATATATCCTAAAAGGTCCTCACTTTGTTGTAACTGTTTGAATATACGGACCTCGTTATGTTAGGAGCTCGGTCGGTCCTCACTTTGTCCGATATACAAGTCGTAAATTTAAAATAGTTTTTTCCGTGTATACTCGCCACTTTTGGATATGACAATAACGTGCTACCAGATCATGCCTAAAATCACCTTTGTAGCTGCATTCCTTCTGGTGGGCCTCACTTTGTGTGGTACACTTGCGGCCCTCACATATATACCGCATGTATACAGTATGATAATGTCTAATATTAAATCTAGAAACAGCTGCAAGAAGGACTGAGGTTGTCACAGAGCCTTCAAGCACAAATTGAGGCGTTGCAAAGGGCGAAAAAGGCGTATGATAAGGCCTACAAAGAGGCGGAAAAGGCGATAGAAGGGTTCCAGAAAGCCGACGCGGATTTCAATCTATCAAGGGCTGAAGTCGAAAAACAAAGATCAAATATGTCACATAAGACGCAGGCATGCGACTCTGCCAAAAATGAATACGCACAACAATTACAAAGGACAAACGAACTACAGAGGCAACATTTTAGGTAGGTTCACTGTAGACGGATTTTTGCAAGGTAATTATAGTAACATAGTTGTAGTAATCCTTTTATTACATTTTTCGGTTGTTTCATAGGTTTACTATGGCGCAGTCAATGGCCTTTATCATACCATACCATGTAACTAGCTATTTCCAGGTAGTTAGACAATACCTTTCTTTGTTTATGTGACGTAATGCTGAAGTAGTTTAGATTATATTACCATCAAAACAACAAAGACAACTGAGATTCTAACTGCAGCACAGAAGATTTCTTAGTTGTAGAGTCGAAGAACAAACGGACGAATATTCAAGCCATACAACAACTTTTCTCATTCAGTTTCTTGGTTTTGCCTCAATACAATTTTTGCAATTTATGATGGAATTTCTTCCTGACTATCTTCGAACAAAAAAAAAAGTTCATAACTAAGCAAGTATCACAATTTCATTCTTTTTGAAACCTTTTCGTTCAAATATAAAAGAAAAAGAAGTGCACAACTATCACCCATCACAAATCCAACTAGACGTGGCCAAAAACTTCACATGCATTCACGGGTGTTTTCCATCTCTTTTTTTTTGTGCATAATCACGTATGTTGGATACCCTGCTGGGTGTTGTCTAGGTGCATTTTTTTTAAACAAATTACAAAAAAATGTTTTGTTCGCTCCAGAGTTTTTTTAAGATTTTGAATCTTGTGTAAAAAAACTCTTGGTAACTTTTGTCTAAAGTTGACCGTTTTCAAGGTATAAGCAATTTAAATTCTGGAAAATCGGAAAAATTGACATACGCAATCCTAGGGTTTGAAGTTTTAGAAAAAATTGAAAATTCGTGCTTTTGTAAATTTTGGCATGTTCCTTCCCCATACATACTTCGTTACCTCCGATGTTTGTCGTGCATGGCAACATGTTGGAAAAATTGCAGCTCTCATATTGGAACAATGGCATATATAAACCAAAAACGGTCCGTTAACAATAGCTTTTTTTCGACTGATTCTCAGATGATGTCATAATGTAACTAGACTCTATTTATAGGGTGATTAAAAAAACAGTGGTAATATTTGTATGGTAGAAAGTTGATCAAAAAATGACTCGAAAACATAACATTGGTCCAAAAATGCTTCCTTATCGATATCCAGGGTGGAGTTATAATTCCGAGTTCGAAAACAAATTGTACAAGGTATGGGAGCGTTTACTTCTTAACAAATAGTCGGTCAATCCAAAGCAGGTCAAACAATAATCTCTTGAATAAATGATAATCTTAATAACTGCTACAAATTGACGTTCGCTTAGTTGGGAAAGGGGTCTGCACTTAATTTCTAGTTTCTGCTTTTGTAATTTTTGAGGCAAAAGTGGCTGTTTTGCTTTATTTACGATGAACCAAAGGAATTGCTCCAGTATATCGAATTCGCTGAAACCTGGCCACTGTTCGTGTTATGTGTTTTTGATATGTAGCTCCTTAATAGCCTGAAATTGATTCGGTGAATTGATAACACTCTGTATAGCGGTAATGGCACATTTGAGGACCTAAGTTTAGAGCAATCATTTTATGTTATTTTTGGAAATACTTTCTGCTTTAAAAACATTGCAATTGTTTTCAGAATGACCTTGGATAAGGTGTACTGACGTATGGTCACCTAAAAGTTTACACACACTGGGGCGTGTTGAGAAGCTTGAAGAGAATTCAAATACTCCCAGAATATTTGATTATAGTCAATTTTCTTAAAAATCCAATATTTTGTAATACCTACAGTGTCTACGGGTCCAAAATTCTTACATGAATAACTTATCAGATACAGGGGTCCTAAAAATTGTATAAAGGAAGAGCTATAGCTTTTAGTGAGAACAAATTCGTTACTCCATCTATTTAATTGATGAGTGTGCTAATTGTAACACATGTACAAAGAGTATTTGATGTTTCATACCAAAACTGTATTTATTGAATGTAGTATTGTTTGTAAAGACAATCATGGATTTCTAAAAACTAATTCGTATATTGCACTTTTCCACAGATCTGGACTACCAGAAGTATTTAGGCAGCTACAAGAATTAGATGAGAAGAGGATAAAGAATATAAAGAATTTCATTAAGGCTTCAGTCCATATAGAGCGAAATGTTTTTCCTATAATTAACAAATGTTTAGATGGGATTTTAAAGGCTGCAGACATAATTAACGAGAAAGAGGTAAATATTTTAATATTACAGTAATCTAACTGATTTTTATCCGGTTATTGAATTATTTTAACCATTTTTCATCCATCGAAACCGAATGAGCGTTAGGACACAACAAAGAAAACCAAATGGTGAAGGACCTGAATAACTACCGAATTAATCCTAATATGCATATGTTTTACAAAATTCAATAGTTTAGAATATATTTCCAGCTTTGTAAAATTTTAGAAAAAAATCGACTTGAAACTGAACTTTGCAGCCAAACTATTAGGCCTATTATCTGTGATTTTCTGGAATTAGTGTAGTAGCGTCTTTTTGACCACTGTGCTGTTTTGTTGATAGACTTCATAAATATCTGAATAAAAACTATTATACATATGTATTGTGACAAATTGTACTGTTGGCGCCATCTGTTGGGTGAGTCTCCTACTCGCCAGAGCTTCATGGCCCATCTCTTGCTTTTACGCGAACCACGACCGCACAAGCCGCTTGTCGGCGTCTGTGAGGACCGTGGCAGTGACTCACCTTCTGGATCGACGCGAAGTGACCTCCAATATTCTAGATGTCGCTTTGTGTTTCACCAGACCTTTCTCGAAGCAGCAATGCTGAGACTGTATATAACTCGGCGGCCGGGATATGGAAGCAGAGTACTGAATACGCTAGAGTAGCAGAGCGGAGTGGAGTATAGTGCAGTCAATGACGACCTAAGAGTTAGTCAGATATAAATAGTGGTGTACATAATTGCTCTAGTAATTTAAATAAATTAGTGTATTTCTTTTTGTGGAATCCAGTGTTTTAATCCACACCCAAAAGAACCCACAAAAACGCTACATTGGTGTCAAGTGTGGGGTGTGGATTATTGGACATTTAGTGAAAATAAATCAGACGATCAGAGAAGGAAGAATGGCGCAATTGGTTGATTTGAAAATTGCCGATTTAAAAAGAGAGCTCGAGGAAAGAGAGTGCGACACGGCTGGAAAGAAAGCGGAATTACAGGAGCGGCTTCATCAAGCACTGATTGTGGAAGGAGAGGACCCGGATATTTTTTATTTTTACCGGTTCAGGGGATATTGGTTTAATGCTGCAAAACCTTTGGACGAAGACCACCGATCAAGAGGTCTACGAACAACTAGTAGGACATTTAGAGATGCGATACGGCCAGTCACATTTCGAACATGTCTACCATACTCAACTAAAGAATCGGTTCCAGAAGTCAGGCGAGTCCTTGCAGAAGTTCGAAGCGGATATTGCGCGGTTGGTACGATTAGCATATCCCGATGTTCAGGAAAGGATAATGGAGCGATTGGCAGTTCAAGCATTCCTGGATGGACTTCGTGATGGTGAAATGAGGCAAGCCTTATTACTAGCACATCCACCTAAGCTAGTAGATGCGCTAACTCGGGCCTTAGAATTCGAAGCCGCTAAAAACACAAACAAAAGCCAGGTCCGAGCCCGCCAGATGGTACCAGGAGATAACGAGTTCGAAGAATCCGTCAAGCGTATTTTTAAGGAACTTGATGGTGAACGCCGCCAGAACAGTAGGTGGGAATGTTAGAAATGTGGAAAAATAGGGCACGTTAGGAGATGTTGTCCTGAAGGTGCTAGTCATCATCCGGCCAATCCGGAAAACTAAGGGAGGTCGATGTGAAGGGGCTGTCGTCGACTTGTAGCCAACAAGCCCCATCAGTTATTACCCTCCAAGTCTCTTCACTTAAACATCAGTCTAATAGTGTTTTTGTCGATGCTGTTGTGGATGGGACTCTCCACACCGTACTGCTGGATAAATGTGCGACAAAGACTAGCATAAGGCCCAACATGGTGAAAGCATCGGCGAAGATTCGAGCATCTAAATGGCGACCACGAACGGCGACGGGAGACCGAGCAAACGTGTACGGTGAAGTAAACATCGCATTTGGAATAGGAAAAGCTACATTCGAGCATCCGGCGATAGTAGCTGATATTGAGGGCGAGGTAATCATCGGGATGGACATCATGGACACAAAGGGCTTCGAGTTGAACTTTGAGCAATGAATTTTTAGAGTCAACAATGAGGAGGTCATATTTGTTGTGAATAAGTATACCAAAAGTTTACTGTAGCTGTTATATATTTAAAATTGGTCAAAGTAGCGACATCTAGTGTCATATGTCGTTACTACTGTGTTTGTCCACTATGTGCATGTCACTCTGTAATGTCAGTGTAGTTGCAATATACCATCATAAGCGTGAACAAGTGTTTTCTTTCATCTCGCTAATCTCGCTTTAAGTTGCGTTTAAGTTCGGGTTGAACTGTGAAAAGTGTGTAAACTCTGTTAAAAAACATCAGGTTATGGGCCCAGACCCACAGTAGGACACCCAGCAGCGAAACTTTAGTGAATCGAGACGTTGAAAGAAACTGTCGTGACGCAAGTGTTTCTCACAGAACAAATATGGCCGTCAACTACCTGACGAGTGTGCCAAGGCTTTTAGGCCGTGAGAATTATGATGAATGGGCGTTTGCCGTCGAGAATGTGTTTGTGCTAGAGGGCTTAAACAAATGCATCGAAGGTACCGAGACCGACACAACGACCCTAGCAAAAGCAAAGGCCAAGCTAGTATTAACCATCGATCCATCTTTGTTCCCGCATGTCAAAGATTTAACGACTGCACAAGAAGTATGGACCAGTCTCAAACGTTTATATGATGACAGTGGTTTCATGCGAAAGATTGGACTTTTACGTACACTCATATCGGCAAGATTAGAGAATCATGATAGTATGGAGTCGTACATAAACCAGATTGTTGAGACTTCCCAAAAGTTACGCAGAACAGGTTTCAAAATAGACGAGGAGTGGGTAGGATCATTGCTGCTGGCCGGTCTTCCAGACAAGTACGCACCAATGATCATGGCCGTCGAGCACTCAGGAATCTGCATAACCACAGATTCAATAAAGACCAAGTTATTGGATATGCAGACAGATGGCGCTAGTGGTAATGGAAATGCAGGTGCATTCTCCGCCAAGAAACCGAGTTTTCGGAAACAGTCGCGAGGTGGCGCTAGTAGGACGAATTTCAAAGGAAAATCAGCTGGTGCTAGCCAAGCGGGAATGTCAACAAACACAGATGATTTCGGGGTTCAATCGAGGTCAAGTTCAAACAGTGGTTTTGGAAATGGACATAATAAAAAGGATCTGAGTAATATTGTGTGTTACAAGTGCAAAAAGACAGGACATTTTATGTCAAAATGCCCTAACAATAACAGACTTGAAGGAGGATTTAGTGCCGTGTTTACAACAGGTGATTTTAAGGTCACAGATTGGTATGTTGATAGTGGTGCCAGCAAGCATTTAACTGCCAATAGCCAGTGGTTAAAAAACAGGAGAAAGCCTGACTTACCTGATATTGTAATGGCTAACAAATCGAAAGTTGTTGTGGAATGTGCAGGTGATGTTGAGATCAAAACAATGACCAATGAACAGCACAAGATTTTACTAGAAGGTGTACAGTATATTCCTGGTTTAACAACTAACTTATTATCAGTAGGCCAGTTAATCAATAATGGAAATAGAGTAAGTTTTCATGAAGAGGGATGCAATATTTACAATAAAGTTGGTGTATCAGTAGCTACTGCTAGTCTACATAACAACGTTTACAAGTTGAACGTTTGTGAGGAGCCAGTGTGTTTTCAAGCTGTAAGTAGCAATTTATGGCATCAACGTTTAGGTCACATTAATGACAGCTACCTGAATAAGACAGCCAAGTTGGTTGATGGTCTTATCTGTAATGGTACAAGCATTGGGAGTTGTGAGGTATGCTGTAGGGGCAAGCAAGCCCGTTTACCTTTTCCCAAAGAAGGCAGTCGAGCACAGCAACTGCTAGAGGTCATTCATAGCGACATTTGTGGTCCTATGGAAACAACATCTATTGGTGGAGCTAAATATTTCCTGACATTTATAGATGATTACAGCAGAATGTGCTTTATATATTTCCTGAAGACAAAAGATGAAACTTTTGATAAGTTTAAGCAATTTAAATCATTAGTTGAGAATCAACAGAATGTTAAGATTAAGATTTTGCGAAGCGATAATGGTGGGGAATTCTGTAATAGAGAAATGGATAGTTTTTTAAAGAATTCAGGCATCATACACCAGACTTCGAGCAGTCACACTCCGCAGCAAAATGGGATGGCTGAGAGGTTCAACCGGACCATTGTGGAGAAGGCTAAGTGTCTTTTATTTGATGAGAGCTTGACCAAGGCATTATGGGCGGAAGCGTGTAATACTGCTTGTTACCTGAAAAACCGTTCAGCATGTTCAAAGCTTTCAATGACACCATATGAGATTTGGACAGGTAAGAAACCAAATCTTAGTCATCTTAGGGTATATGGGAGTACCGCCATGGTTCATGTTCCGAAGGTCAGTAGGAACAAGTGGGACGAGAAGTCAGTGAAGCATGTGCTTGTTGGGTACGATGAAACTACCAAAGGATATAGGTGTTTTAACCCCAGAACAAGGAAAGTCATAGTAAGCCGTGATGTAACAATCATAGAGAAACCAAGTTTGGAAATTCCAAGTACAGTGTTGCCGGATAGTGTTCCAGATAAGCAAAGGGAAGTTCCAGATTCAGTGGGAGAGCAGAATCCCATGTATTCAGATGATGAATCTTCTGAAGATGATGTATACTTCTCGGATGATGATGAATATGTGCCTGAAGGTCAGTGCCATGACTTGTTTGATAATGGTGAACAAGTAACTCCAAGAAGATCCCAAAGACAGATCAAGAAGAAGAATTTTCAAGATTTTGTGACATATTTTGGAGGTGTTAACAGCAAGGGTGAAGTCTATGACTCGAGTATCCCTACATCAGTGACTGAGGCTCTTTCAAGGCCAGATGGGCAGAAGTGGAAAGAAGCTATGTCAGAAGAAATACAGTCATTTATCGATAATGACACTTGGGAATTAGTAGATCCGCCAGAAGTTGGTACAGTGGTGCAGTGCAAGTGGGTATATAAAGTGAAGAGTGATAATGAAAGCCATAACCGGTATAGAGCTAGGCTTGTGGCTAAAGGTTTCACACAGAGAGAGGGTGTGGACTATGTTGAAACCTTCGCCCCAGTGGTAAGGCACTCAACTTTTCGTTTATTGCTTGCTTTGTCTGTTAGGCTAGATCTAAAAATTTTACACTTGGATGTGAAAACAGCTTTCTTGAATGGTATTCTGAAAGAAAATGTATTTATGCAGCAACCTGAAGGTTTTGTCATTAAAGATAAAGAAAATAAAGTGTATAGATTGAAGAAAGCAGTTTATGGATTAAAACAATCTAGTCGTGCTTGGAACGAAAAAGTCGACCAAGTTTTGTCAAAAATTGGTTATTCTAAGTCCAAATATGAGCCTTGTTTGTACATTAAAAGGAATAACAGTAATTTGTTAACCATTGTTGCTCTCTATGTTGACGATTTTTTCTGTTTTTCGTCTGATGACAATGAAATGAAGTTTCTTGAAGGTCATTTAAACTCAAAGTTTAAAATTAAGAATTTAGGAGAGGCAAAACAATGTTTAGGTATAAGAATCACTAGGGATTATTCGAAAAATTGTTTGTCAATTGATCAAGAATTGTATATTAATGAACTTTTATGTCGTTTTGGTATGTCAGATAGCAAAGTAGTAAGTACTCCGCTTGACAGTAGTATCAACTTGAGCGATATCAGTGGTGAAATTTGTGATCCAAAAGTTCCATATCAAGAGCTTATTGGAAGTTTAATGTACCTTTCGGTAATGACCAGACCTGATATTTCTCATGCTGTGAGCTTATTAAGTCAGTATAATAACTCATACACTAAAGTTCATTGGCAATCTGCAAAGCGTTTACTTCGTTATTTAAAGGGTACAAAGAGCTTGTCTATGAAATTTTTTAAGGATAATTTAAATTTGACAGGTTTTGCAGATGCAGATTGGGGGTCCAATAAGCAAGACAGAAAGTCATTTACTGGTTATGTATTTAAATATTCAGGGGGTTCAGTTTCATGGAAAAGCTGTAAACAACGTACTGTTGCTTTGTCGACAACTGAGGCAGAGTATATGGCTCTAAGCGAGGCAGCAAAAGAGGCCATATATCTGAGGAATTTGTTGAGCGAGTTAACTGGAAAATTGGATTGTATTGAGATTCATAATGATAATCAAAGTGCTCAGAAGCTTGCTAGCAATCCAATGTTCCATGATAGGTCAAAGCACATAGATATAAGGTACCATTTCTTGCGAGATATTGTGTTAGAAGGTAAAGTGAAATTAATGTATACACCTACTAACGAAATGGTTGCAGATGTTTTAACGAAACCATTACAAAATGTTAAGAATTCAAAGTTTGTAAAGGGTTTAGGTTTAAGTTAAGTTGTGCATGACAGATATTTTAAAAGGTTTTAGAGAACCATTAGTAAACTTTTGTTAAGTGGGAGTGTTGTGAATAAGTATACCAAAAGTTTACTGTAGCTGTTATATATTTAAAATTGGTCAAAGTAGCGACATCTAGTGTCATATGTCGTTACTACTGTGTTTGTCCACTATGTGCATGTCACTCTGTAATGTCAGTGTAGTTGCAATATACCATCATAAGCGTGAACAAGTGTTTTCTTTCATCTCGCTAATCTCGCTTTAAGTTGCGTTTAAGTTCGGGTTGAACTGTGAAAAGTGTGTAAACTCTGTTAAAAAACATCAATATTACACCGGGAAAGGAATGGAAACGTATGAGTTATATTGCCTGAAGACACCGTGAACCCAGAACTACAGACGGAGAAATAGTCTGCTGGGCGAGTCTCCTACTCGCCAGAGCTTCATGGCCGATCTCTGCTTTTACGTGAACCACTACCCCACAAGTCGCTTGGCGGCGTCTTTGAGGACCGTGGTAGTGACTCACCTTCTAGATCGACGCGAAGTGACCTCCAATATTCTAGATGTCGCTTTGTGGTTCACCAGACCTTTCTCGAAGCAGCAATGGGGACTATATATAACTCGGTGGCCTGGATATGGAAGCAGAGTACTGAATACGCTAGAGTAGCAGAGCGGAGTGGAGTATAGTGCAGTCAATGGCGACATAAGAATTAGTCAGACATAAATAGTTGTGTACATAAATGTTCTATTAAGTTAAATAAATTAGTGCATTTCTTTTTGTGGAATCCAGCGTTTTAATCCACACCCAAAAGAACCCAGAAAAACGCTACAGTATGTTACAGTTCTACTTTTTCTGGAAAGTTCTGTTTTCTCCGCCACTATCAAGGGCTGCCAACAAAGAATTCACCCTACTATATCTCTTAGAATCCATTGAAAAACAACTAGATTCCGTGATTAATCAACTCTGCAAATTGAATCCACATCTTGTCGAAAACTGTACTTCAGTTGTTCAACTACTAAAATAGTCTAAGTGGTGAAAGTCACAAACTATATGGAGACTAGCCTAGTATACTCTCTGTCATCTGAAATAGGTTTAATTCAATTGCATGATATGGTTTAAATTGGTTGAAGCTAGAATTCACTAGGCAGTCATTAAGATACTTGAATAGGAACAGTCACAGGAGTCTGTGCAACCACATTTGTTCGCACATTTAGTGATTCTTAAGCAGCACAGCTGACAAATATCGATTATTTCTGCTGTTTTACATTCACATAAACAAGTAAAACCTAAACACCCGGATATCGCGACTGCTATGAAGAATGAGAGTTCATTGGCACGAATTCCAAATTTATGTGTATGTCCAGTACTATCAAGGTGTCCATGTTCTCCATTGTTCTCATTTCTTCAGCTACTTATTCTTACTATGTTTTCCTGAAATGCTTGTTTTTCTCATTATTCTGCGATGTTTCACAATGCAGTGAGTCCCTTCGCCTCCCCTAGATGTTTAGATCCCTAAAGTGTTTCAACAAAACGAACAATCGATATTTAGTATATTCGGCCTCCTTAAGCATACCCTCTTCGCCATTCGCTCTTTAATTTTGTTCAGTCGATGTCACTCGTTTTCAGAAACGTTGCTTATGGTAAGCGCGTGCACTACTCCCCTCCCCCTTGCCGTGCTCTTCAATGTTCAGTTGCCACAACCCGACAGTGGAGTATTTTCATTCATATCAATGACAGACCACCGGAAAAAAGCGTCCACACTCCTCATGTTTACTAATTACGAGTATGTCTTTCAAAATACTCATTTTTTTCGTACGCTCTGGTCTGTGGATACCCTGCATTGCATTGGTGATTGATTATGCTCCTATTTTGTTTAGTTATTTAGCAAAATTTAATCATAACATATAAAAACCATCGTAACATATTGATCATTTTTCTATAGGATACAATGCTGGTGATAGAAAAATATAAGTCTGGTTTCCAACCCCCAGAAGATTTTCCTTTTGAAGATCTTTCCAAGAGTGGTGGGGGCAGTGATTCGGGAAGCGCCAACAATATCAACAACATCGCCATGAGTGGAAAACTGAAGGATGGCGGGTACACGGTTAAGGGCACAATTACAGGGAAATCGATGAAAAAACGAACCGGATTATTCCATATATTCGGGAGCAGAGGGGTAAGTTTGTCCCAATTTTAATTAACCAATAATTTTTTTATATATATAAAATATATTATCTATACAGGGTGTTAATAAAGTATGTAGACAAACTTTCACCATCGAATCCCTGGTCAATTTGAAGATGAAATTTCCACATGAACATGGGTCCAGAACCGCTTTGTTTTCAAGCTAGACCATATTAGCACTAAAAGAAATGATGATATTGTTCTTAAAAATTATAAAAGAATGGAACGTATTTTATTTTAATTAACCCTGTGGTGAATATCACATGATTTACAGTTGTTTTCAGACCCTCCATGTACGTAGATACGGATAATGTTATACAGTATTTTTTGAAAAAATAGCATGACATTGATTTGTTTTGACTATTGACCTTCGAAATCATTTTTTTTTCAATTATACAGGATAATACTATTTTCATCCACGTGTATATTGAGCCTCACCAACTTGTAAAACATGCAAAATTTATCATACGTTATACCAACTGTTCAATAAATACGTTTCATTATTCATAGAAATATTTGGAAAATTACTCGTGTTTCTTTAGTGATAGTGCTCTAGTTCGAAAAGAAAGCCATTACGGACCCATGTTCATATGAACGTTTGGACTTCAAATTGACTAAGGATTCGATGGTTAAAGTTTGTCTACATACTTTATTAACACCCTGTATATATATATATATATTCACATATATATATATATATATTCATATATATATATATATATATATATATATATATACAGGGTTATCCAAATTAAGTGTCCACCATTAGTAACTTTGTTATTAGTGAAAATACAAAGTTGTTTGAATTAGCAAACTAGTAGCATTTTTAACGCTGGTAAAAATGAGAAATAAAAAAAAACAATTGAGAGTCGTTATTTTGATTTTTTTCAGTAAAATAACATTTTTTTAAATGGAAACCCCTGTATATTATATTTTTTTCTGTTAAAGCATCAAATTTTAAACAAAAAAGCTTACAATAACTTTTCTCCTAGGTTACAAATTGTTGAAGTTATGGCCTCCAATCTGAAACAATTAAATTGTATCGACAAACTTTATTTTCAACATCAACTTATAATCTTACAAAATACAATAACAATTTTTTTTTAAAGAAGATGCTCGAAAACACCACCTTGTTCTTCAATACATTTTTGGGCACGTTTTTCAACTGCTCGAACTGTCTTAAGTATGGTCCTACCATCTATCTGGGTTATCTTTTCCCTAACTGCAGTCTTTAACGCATCAAGGTTATCGTACCTTCGCTTGTAAATTTGGTTCTTTAAGTAACCCCACAAGAAGTAATCAAGTGGGTTTAGATCTGGTGATCTGGGAGGCCACTGTATTGGGCCATTTGTTCCTATCCACTGATCATTAAAAGTAGTACTTAGAAAATGATAAGTACCTCTGGAGTTGTGGGCAGGTGCGCCATCTTGCTGAAAATGCAGATGATGTCTACTTATAAGATCCAATTCGTCTAAGAAATTAGTCAGAATTTCTGACATAAATTCCACATATCTTTCACCAGTTAGGGTTCCCTCATAAAAGAACGGGCCAACAATTTTTGAACCAATTATACCGCACCAAACGTTGAAACTGAAACGGACTTGTGGGCCTCTTGGATGTACTAACAAAAGATTTTCTCTTGACCAATAATGGTGGTTTTTTCTATTAAACATTCCAGAATTTGAAAAATTTGATTCATCTGTCCATAAAAGGTAACGAAAGTTATTTACATTTTGGCGACAGAAGCTAAGATACCAATGGCAAAAAACAAGTCTTCTCTCTGGATCCCCTGCCAAAAGCGTTTGAACTGGTCGGTACTTATACGGAATAAATTTGTATTTTTTTAAAATCCTTTGAACAGTACCATAACTGGAATTAGAGTCCTTGAGAATATCTGCTATTGAATTCTCACGATAAGCTTCAAAATATCCAATAACTGCAATTTCCGTGGCCTCGCTTATTATGAATTCTTTTTTTGCCCTTGTTTTAGCAAAAACATTTTCGTTGCCCCTAAATTTTCGATAAAGTCTCAGAAAATATCGTTCATACGGTTGAATGCGAGCGGGATATAATTCACTGTAGTATTTATTCTCTTGCTCTCAAGGAGGATTTTCTGCACACTAAATAGCATTCTAACATATCACACTTTTCTTCATGGGAGAACATTTTTCTTTAAATTAATGACACAATAAAGCTTATAAACAAGTATTTACACTAATGTTTGACATTATTTGATTTTATCATTGTTTTCCAAAGCCTTCTAGTTGCGAGTATGTCCAGTTTAACAATTTGTCGCTTATCTTAATGCTGTCAAATCGCGAACGCCATGTTGTTTTCATAGCCGTCTTAATATTATAATACTGCAAATAATTAAAAATATTTATCGTTATTTTGACTTTATTTTTGACTTTAGCGGAAAAGTCATTATGAACTTTTTTGTTTAAAATTTGATCCTTTAACAGAAAAAAATATAATATACAGGGGTTTCCATTTAAAGAAATGTTATTTTACTGAAAAAAATCAAAATAACGACTCTCAATTGTTTTTTTTTATTTCTCATTTTTACCAGCGTTAAAAATGCTACTAGTTTGCTAATTTAAACAACTTTGTATTTTTACTAATAACAAAGTTACCAATGGTGGACACTTAATTTGGATAACCCTGTATATTCACATCCAGGTCTGGACGGAATATTACTCATAAACAAATACATTTTGAGAAAATCTATTTATGGCATGTTATACATGACATTTGAGGACACACTTTTAAAATATTGATCATTATACAGGGTGGCCCGATTTCGACCTACATATCAAAGTTGTGATTTTACAAATGGAATGCCTCAAATTTTATTGCATATATTTGGATAAACCAATTCAAAAGAAGAAAATTGATATAACATACTATGGTGTTTTGGTAATTAGATACTGAGATATAAGGTGTTTTATCTAGAAAAACCCCCCACTTCGGCAACCCCTCAGTCCGCCATTTTGAAATTTGGAGTGCCGAATTTTGTATTAAAAAAACTCACACACCTCATCTTTTATCTTACTTGTCACTTTTTCGAATATTACTTTTTGCTGATACACGGTGGTCAAAAACGCAGATTGTAGTTTTTCCCAAAAATTTCAAAAGAATCACCCTGCATATTTGTGCAAGCTTGGATTCAATTTTTTATAAGTTTTTTTTTGATACTAGACACATAATGGTTTTTACGGATATTATTTCCGTTATTAGCACGTGACTTTTATGGAACGGCTTAATTCCCTAAAATATCGCATCATCCTTGGAAACAAATAAATTGTTGATTAATTACAAACTGTCAAAATTAGCTTTATGAGCATTATAAAAACGTGTTTGAAAATTAATTTTTCTAAAGAAGAAATGGCTAATATGGCGTTCGTTTTGGGCGAAGCCCAAAGAAATAGTTCCTAGGCCGCAAACAATTTCCACACTACGAGAACGTTTTGAATCAACTGGAACAGTGGAATATAGTAAAAAATGTATAAATAATCCAAGTGTCACCAATGAGGCGAATTAGTTGGAAGTTCTATTGAAGTTGCAGGAAAATCCCCATTTAAGTGCACGGCAGATTGGGTCAGAAACTGACATATGCAGAACTTCTGTCCAAAGGATTATTAACAAGCATAGGTACCATCCATATCACCTATGCTTGCAACAAGACCTTCGTCCTCAGGATTTCGCAGCTCGAATGGAGTTTAGTAGAATAATGCTAAGTACAGTGAGTGAAGACACTACTTTCCTGGATAAGGTTCTTCTTAGTGATGAACTGATGAGGCAACTTTTTACAGCAAAGGTGATGTCAACAGGCATAACTTGCACTATTATGCGACGGAAAACACTTACTGGGTTAAGCAAATAGATTTCCAAATTAAATGGAGCTTGAATGTTTGGGGAGGAGCTATTGGCAGACAAGTTATCGGGCCTTTCTTTTTCGACAACAGATTAACAGGTACAAAATACTTGAATTTTTTGATCGAGCATTTGCCTTTGCTTTTGGAGGATGTCAACCTGCAAACTCGGATGGATCTGTATTTCCAACATGACGGCGCACCTGCGCATTCTCATAATCGTGTGCGTAACTATTTGTACACCTCGAGTAACAATCGTTGGATCTGTCGTGATAGGCCTATATCTTGGCCTCCTAGATCACCAGATATGACACCGATGGCCTTCTTTCTATGGTGCTACGTTAAGCCAGAGGTTTATAGATATCCACCATCTACACTGGAAAATATGAAGGAAATGATTAAGGATGGTTTTCTCAACATAAGGGAACACATGCTGAGGGATGTGCAACGGTCATTTATTCAAAGACTACGGCTGTGTATTCAACATGGTGGATATATTTTCGAGCAGTTTCTGTAGATTAGGTCTTGAGTAGTGATAGTTCTTTATGTTGTTATAGTTGTTTTTCTCTATTACGCTTGTAGATGATTCATACTGTTCTGCTTGTTATTGTCAAATCTGTACTCTTAGTGGCAATATGGAACTAGCCCACTGTTTGTCTTTTGTTTCCCTTAATTTTGGTGTGTTGTTCTACTAAAAGCTTAATAACTCAAAATCTAGTGTTTTCATCTGAATCAAACCTTATACAAAAAAAGCTTATAAAAAATCGAATCCAAACATGCACAAATATTCAGGGTGATGCATTTGAAATTTCTGAGAAAAAGTACAATTCGCGTTTTTGACCACCCTGTTTGAGCAAAAATGAAAATTCGAAAAAGTAACAAATAAGATAAAAGCTGAGGTGTGTAAGTTTTTTGGATACAAAATTCTGCACTCCAAATTTCAAAATGGCGGATTGAGGGGTTGCCGAAGTAGACGGTTTTTCTTGACAAAACACCTTACATCTCAGTAGCTAATTACCAAAACCCCATAGTAGGTTCTATCAACCTTATTCTTTTTAATTGGTTTATCCAAATATGCAATAAAATTTGAGGCATTCCATTTAAAAAATCACAACTTTGATATGTAGGTCAAAATTATAACACCCTGTATAATTGTCAATATTTTAGAAATGGGCCCTCAAATGTCATGTATAACATGCCATAAATAGATTTTCCCAAAATGTATTTGTTTATGAGTAATATTCCGTCCACACATGAATGGGCCACCCTGTATATATATATATATATATAAAGAGAACATTATCATGCGTAGAAAGATATATAACAAAAAGTAGAAAAATAATGGGCAAAATCCGCAAAAAAGAGGAAAGTGGATTCGAGCAGAAAATACACAAGTGTCGTTTTTTTCCCTCTCCATCTTTGTTTCCTCAGGTTACACCCATATCCGGATGTATGAGCATGTGTATCTACTTTTGTAGTTGCATATGTGCATTCATTTCGGGCTTAATGAAGCCAACCAGCAGAAATACGTATCGCTCGGGTTACCTATCCTATTTTCTGCTCGTATCCACTTTCCTTCTTCTTGCGGATGTTGCCCATTAGTTTCCTATTTTTTGGTATATACATTTTTCTCCGCATGATTATTTTCTCTTTGTAGATCCTTTGGGCTTGAAGTACCACAGCAAGTGGCTATAACCGGCCGCGTGGTTGTGGTTAGATGTCGCCTTGAAAATTCGAGGTCTTCTAGCCATTTTATACTACAATGTGTAGGTTGGCTCTTGTTGTGGACTTCGTGTGTGATTTTTTCCCTCTCCATCTTTGTTTCCTCAGGTTACACCCATATCCGGATGTATGAGCATGTGTATCTACTTTTGTAGTTGCATATGTGCATTCATTTTGGGCCTGATGAAGCCAACCAGCAGAAATACGTATCGCTCGGGTTAGCTATCCTATTTTCTGCTCGAATCCACTTTCCTTCTTTTTGCGGATTTTGCCCATTATTTTCATATTTTTTGATATATACATATAGATATATATATATATATATATATATCATATATATATACATATATATCATATATATACATATATATATATATGATATATATATATATATATATATATACATATATAATTTTGCAAGTAGTATGACTTTAATTCGTTTATACAGATTTGATTCTTTGAATGATACAAACCTTTGCAATGTTATTTATACATAAAAACTGCATGAAATATGTATCCCTATATTATTGACGATTGTATTGATTTGTTTCTCTTTTCTTTCCATTTCTGGTAAAATTGGTGATGAACCTTAAATTGGATACGCGATATGAATTTTTTGAATGTAAGTAAATTAAAACAATCTGAATGCATGTTGTATCGTGTCGTGATGCCTTGTTGTGATTCGTTTGGAGCATGTTTTCCGTTGAATTGGATGGTGTACAAACCGTTTATGAGGTATTTCGCATGCTTTCCTCATATCTAATGTTTTTCGTTTGCTCATGAAACGTTTCTTGCCTAATTAACACACACACACATACACACTTTGGACATTCAACTAATAGACCGAGAGCCCGCGACACTCAAACCTTTGATATTTTTAAAACGTTTCTCTGTGTATGTTCCCAACACAGGTAAGATCAGCGAGTATGAAATTTGGATAGTGGTTACTTAGGCAGGTAACAGGTAGCAAAGGTATATAGTACATCAAATTCGTTCGTATAAAGCTCAGTTTTTTTTTATATTTTCTTCAGAATGATATAAATGACGTCATCCACTGCCAGACAGTACAGTTTGAACCTCCTGCCAGAAACCCCTAAACTTCAATAAATTAGAGTTAAACCTTCGTCATTGTATAAAAGCTGAAATTTATGTATGTCACATGGGGGACTATCAGAAGAAGTTACCCCAGTAGCCAGAAAGTTTTAATGGTTCATGGCGATGTGTCTGTCACAATGTAACATATATGAGTTTCAGCTTTTATACTATGACGAAAGTTTAACTCTTAATCTGTTAAATTTTATGGGTGTCTGGCAGGGAGTTGAAATTATGCTAATATCATTTTGAAGAAAATATAAAAAAAGTGGGCTCTATCTGAAATTTAAACAACTATTTTACACACCTTTGCTACCTGTTCCCTGCCAAATTAACCACTATCCAAATTTCATAGTCGCTGATCGTTCTTACATGTGTTGGAGATATGCACATGGAAACTTACAGGTTTTATATACAAGTGAGTGACAAAAAAAGGTAAACACCTACGTATGTTTATTAGAATTCAAGAATTTTTTACTTTAGCTTCCCATGTACAACAAGTGATAAAATAGTCAGGTTTTTCTGTTAAGTTTTTGTGGTGGCTGCGTGTATTGTTTGGTGATAAAGAAGCATTCAGTTTTCGTACATTTACGGTGTCAGTTAAATGTTAAATTCCGTGTAGCTTATTGAGAAGTATTTTTGTCATTGCTCAAAATGCCTAGAGTGCGTAGAATTGGCCGGGTGTCCCAGCTAAGTGACTTTGAGAGGGGTCGAATTGTCGGGTTGAGTGAAGCCGGTATATCGATAAGAGAAGTTTTTAGGGGGACCAACAAATCCTTAAGTGCGAAGGCTTCTGGACGTTAAAGAGAGACCACAAAGCGACAAGACCACCTGTTAAGACTTCTGGCTCTGAGAGACAGATTCAGTAGTACTCGAGCCATCGCTGATGAGTGATTTGAAGAGCATGGAAGGATGGTTGGTATTCGTATGGTATATCGCCGAATACGACAGTTTGGCCTTTTTTCTTATCGCTCACATTTGGTGCTATCTCTCACAGCTGAACATCGGCGTAACCGTTTGCTCTGGTGTAGAGAAATAATTCTATGGGACCGGGAATGGAATCAGGTGGTCTTTAGTGGCGGATCCTGCTTCTGTATGGGGATGCACGATGGTCGGGCAAGAGTGAGAAGGCGACGTGGTGAGAGACGTGGCCCACAATTTGACAGAGAGCGTCACGTTTACCACACCGTGGGAGTTACGGTTTGGGGTGCTATTGCTTATGGTAGCAGATCACTACTAATTTTCGTCAGATGCAATATTACAGCCCGACGCTATATTCAGGAAGTAGTGGATCCTCATCTTATTCCATACCTAAAGACGATCCAAAACCCGATTTTTCAGCAAGACAATGCCAGACCGCATGTTGTCAGAGCATCGTTAGCCTTCATGGATCAACGTCATATCAACCGTTTACATTGGCCACCACGATCGCCTGACCTATCTCCAATTGAACATCTCTGGGACATGATAGGCAGGCTCTTGAATTTGCAACACCCTCCACAGACTTTAGCAGCTCTTGCTCACGAAGTTGCACTAGCCTGGAATGAGATACCCCAAAAGGATATTGACCATCTTATCAGTACGATGCCCAGACGTGTCAATGAGTGTGTAAGAAATCACACATTGACGAATCAAGCTGAAAATTTAATCATTTTACTAGTAAGGGACACTGAACATGTATGCCAAAAATTATTAAAATCGGATAAGCATACGTAGGCGTTTACCTTTTTTGTCACTCACTATAAAATAACGAAGTTCGGGCGTCGCTGGCTGTTGTTCTATAATGTGACAGCTCTTGACGAAGCGAAGCCTAAATTAAGAATACTTTCGATGAAATAGTTGATTTGTTATTGTATTTGTTATTCTACTGTCAGCTTCATTTTTATATATGGTGATTCAAAAACCAAGTGGCAATAGCATAAATTGCATCCAAAAATAAAAAAAAGGCTCTATAGACAGTCTCCTAAAATGTCCCATTACCAAGATGCAGGATAATGTAAATTTCTATGCCACACGAGAGAGTAAATTAAATAAGGATAAAACAGGATTACTGTCGTTATACACTACTTATATTTCAGTGTCAAACTTCACTAACGTCACCGTATTTTCAAAACAGAAACGGTTTGAGGTGTTTTTGTATGGATTTTACATCAATCATTTAAACCAAGTTTTCTCCAAAAGGAGCAGCTTGATAAACATTTCTCGAGAGGCGATTCATGTGAAAGTAAATACCTATTTCCAAAATGCAGAGGCATAGAAAGTGATTTTTGTTTTTTCTTCTGTGCGCGTCAAAGTTTTCCATTTTCTATTTCCTTGTATAATCTCATACACAGAAATTTTTATATGTATTGACTCTGCTGTTAGTACTATGTGTACAAAATTTTAAGTGAATATTTTACTGCCCTCTGCAGATATATTCTTTCAATTTCAAAGTTATAACTCCAACACCCTGTACCTCAGTAAGGGGGTATTTTAATGTTTTTATGAACTTTCCGTGCTATTTTTTGATATATTTTATGCTCTACAAATATTGCTGTTTCCTGAATCACGGAATATAAAGGCTTAAATATCGATCATTGGTTGTTCACTAGCACTCAACAGCTGACTCGTTGCGTTGTTTAGTGTGTGCTTTAGCTTAGCTGACCATCTAAATGAACTGACAATCACTAAATATAAACATAACCTGCTAAAGCAAACTCCATATAAGGCTAAGATTCAGCTGCTGAGTGCTAGCGAACGCAGCCAATAGAACAAAATCAACACAATACGGCAATACCCATTAGAATGTGTTGAAGTGTTGTGGTGCCTAGCGTAGATTTCGTTTGATGTAACCTCTGTAAATGGAGTGAAAAGTCATTACAGCTTTCTTTAATAATTATGAACAAAGCTCCATGTAATACTGTAGGAAAAATTTCATAAAACTGAGATGGCTAAACTTAGTTGAGAGGTTACACATAATTGTCACAATAAAATCTATTCTACGCATAAAAACCAATAAAATGCTTTGCCTGAATATCTAGAAAGGCACAGACGCTAACGCTTTTTATCTTTTCATGCAACAGAAGCTTTCCGAAGTCTGTATGGCTATAAAGGTATGTGCTTAGCTTTAGAAACATCTTTAGCATTAGGTTTCATTTCCGATTTGTGTATCAAAAATACGCTTTGGGCTGCTTAGTTTCTCTTTTGTGAATTAGAATACCTGTATCTGAAACATTTTATTAGAGAGGGTAATGGTGGAATAGAAATTCGCCAATTGACCTCTTTATATCGAAGTTTTCAGTTGTATGCAAGTTTGATGCAATAAATGCTTTTGTGGTCGTTGGTTTTTCATTATCTAGTCAACAACGAAATTTGAGGTTTTTTCAATTGTTCGTTGGAACCTTTGAAAATTTAAAGGTGTCGTTTCTTAAAACTCTTGCTTTTTATACAGGTAGATTGCATGATTCTAACAGTGTCCCTTTCTCAAAATAGCCGTCATAATGTCACTTGTAACCTTCTAATTATTGATAACCGGACCATATTCCCGCAGTTTTATCCGAGATTACACAGAAGCTTACGGTCCTCTATTTCTAGAGTATCTACAAAAAAAGGTATGGACCCACTCAAATTCATAAAAACATTATAGACGGTGCACAGTTTCTTGTGGTCTAGTCAAATAAATATCGCAATTTTAAGTGGGGAAATACATTTTGTGAAACCAACCATGTAACGTTGTCGACTGACCAAGACATTAAAAAAGTACCTGATTTAGTATTACAAGATGATGTAGCTTTAAAGAAACCTTTTAGCAAATTTAATCTCAAAATGCTGACCTGCTCCTAAATAGAAAGGTCTGGGGAAGTTAACAAGTGGCGTTCTCTGGAAGGTTATCCACTGGACTCCCAAAGTTAATATAACATTTTCGAGGAAAAACATTTCAACAAGGGATATCTGCCGTATCATCTCAGCAGTAGAACAAACTTTTTATTGGGAGGCTAAAGAATTGCTGGAGCACAGTTTGAACAGACGTATAAACTTAAAAATAAAGCTCAAATATAGCTGCTGGATTCAGGATAGTTAGAGGCGGAGCTTAGGGATCAACCCTCAGTAGTGCGGTAAACGTGTAGTATAATCAAATGCTGGGCGGACCTGTTGACGCCATATCAAACTGAGATTAGTGACATTTTTTGGGACGACCGTGTTTTTGAACACGATGAGGAGAAAAATTCGACTCGATTTCTACATTCGGTTATGTTGCTTTTGTGTTGCCTCTAAAGCAGCTGCCAAGCAACTCGTAAATTAGTTCCGAGATTTTGGATAAAGCCACTGACTATACTTACTAATAAGAATTTGAAGTATAAATCGGCTCTTTTGATTCTTAAACGCCCTGGTTGACAGAAAAATCGTATAAGTAACATATTTTACAAATAATATGTTGCCAGATCAGTCAATCGTCGTATGTAAAATGATTTATCCAAGATTTCCTAGAACATAATGTGCAAGAAAAGATCTGCGCAAAGTAACACCGTGTATGCGAAAATATTTCTTCGGTCTGAGGATCACTCGTTCACTATTAACTTGCCTGTTGCAACTCTTCTATGAACAGTATTTCTTCTGGAAGATTTTATTAAAAACGCTTGGAGTAACACAACAACACGATACATTTGGGGAACCGGAACGTTAGCTGGAGGATCTCAAAATGAAATGGACAAATGACATCTTCTATCAACCGGTGTCCAACAGTTGAGTAAATGGTCGTGTTGCCGCCTTTTTGGTGTGAACACTGTGAACGCTTATAATTAAATATATGTGCCGAGTCGGGCTTCTGTTACTAGTTTCTTTCGGTGAAGACGATTCTTTTCGATTTGAGGTACAGCAATACACTGGGATGACATACAAGTACATGTGTGGAAAAGTAAAAAATGTTGCGAATGCGACAATGCCCTTAAAATTAAGGGTTTCAAAGTGATTGTAAAAGGTGACCACGGGGCACTGGAAATGGCTGTTTCCCTAGACCCTTTGAGTGATTTCGGTAGGGGCCCCTGCAGTGGAATTCTTTTGTAACTTCTACTAATTATTGTAGTTGATGGTAATGATGTAAACCAGTCCATTCCAAAAAAACCATCTAGCCAGCCTAGATGCGAAGGTTACACGTAATTGCTGCGATATGTGTTGATGGTTTTGACTCCTTAACGGAAGATCAAACTAGAATACAATTAGTATTACGAATTAGTATTACGTCCGTACATGGTCATTACTGTAGCAGGTTTCTTACTGCCTAAGTGCAGAAATATTTAAAAATAGACAAATTTTGTGTCGCTGTTATTTGTTTAAGGTCAAAATCAATGGACAAAAAAAACAAACATCAATGGGCTAATAATACTCCTCACCAAAATGGATGAATTTTAGAATCATTTTCTTATGTCCAATGTTTTTTCAGTGATTTAGCAGAAACTTTATAGTGAATGGCTTTCGGCAATTATTTTAAATATCTAGTATATTATGGATCTCAGTACGTAGAACAAGTATCCATGTGTAGTTTCCGCGACACAGGATCTCCAAGTTGGACAATCTATACTTAATTGCAGCGCATTGTGGGTTCAGTACGGGATATATGATAGTTGTTTGATGTTTACTTTCTTATCATCATGCCTACTGGCCAATTCACCAACATTTTAATTTTGTGACATGTGCAGGGTGGCCTAAACTTGCACGGATACAGTATTCTACCGAGACACAAACTTTTCAAAGAAATATCTAGATTATCCTGCATCGATCCTGGAAGAATACGTTTCAAACATATTCAGGATTATACAACGTGTACCTGAATAATAAAGTTGCTGGTTTGATAGTTTTATTAAATATTTGAGTAGAACTACATACTTCTGGGTTTTGTTAGCTTTTACTTGCCTCGTAATGAATAATTGTTTGAATCAATTAGTTGCACAGAGTTTTCAAAGGCACATAATTCATTGTTCCTTCATACATTCAACTTTCACATTTTCATAGGGGTTGATATCCTTTTATTCTTTCATATTGCTAGTTAAATTATTTTCATCCTTTCAACTAATGTATACGACGATGGTTTATTTACATTACTAATCGTCAGTAGTCGATGTAGGTGGAACACGGGAAAACGAAACATACCAAGAGGCCGCCGTTATACTTCGAGGTGGCGGCGACAAGTGTCGCACAGGGTTGCCAGATGCGCTGAATAACATCAAAGCATATTATATTACACCATGTTTAATTGGTATTTACGCCATCATCGCGCTCTTATAGTGTCTTAACTATTCTGCACTGATCAATTCTAGCGGGATCCTGAGCAGTTGTTTGTATGTTTTGTCGTGGCGTAATTGAATAAGATTTGAAATTGTTGTATGGCAGTTTTTGTTTCACACGTTTTAAAACGGAAACGTGAGACATCGCGTTAACTACGTTGACATATTGGGTGATTTTCTCTTAGTTTGAGGAGGTTGTTGTACCTTTCGGAAAATTTTTGGGAGTCAATGATCTGGGGGATTTGTTTGGAGGTAATTAATACCTCTAAGTGTCTGATTTCGTTTTTAACCGTATGAAACTAATCACTGTCAAACAACAATTTCAACCCTCATAGGTTTATCTAATTAATTCACTACAAAACAGACAAAAAACTGCTCTCGACCGAGATAGTATTGTTCAGTTCAGGATAGTATGTCAATTCAAGAGCGAAATGATTGACTCTATTTGGCCCATTTGGCAACCCTTTGCGGTACCCGCAGCCGCCACCTCGAAGAACAACTGAAGCCTGAAGCTTTATAGAAATCATCTGTATCTTGTCTGCTTTGATTGTTCATAACCTATGTTTAGAGATCAGAGTGTGGTGTAAGTTTTATGATAGTAAATTATTTTTCATTTACAGAATGCTGCAATTTCTGATGGAAAGGAGGACCTTAGCGAGCTTCCGCCTAACCAAAGGAGGAAAAAATTGATCCAGAAAGTGGAAGAGCTCCAGACTAAAGTCGCACAGGAAACTGCCGCTCGAGATGGACTGATGAAAATGAAAGGAGTATATGAGGCAAATCCTGCATTAGGTGATCCTAGGACAATAGAAAGTAAGTCGTAGTGCTCAATTTTTTAATTATACAAAAACAGCCTTTATTGCCGATCAGTTTATTATACACACTGCGTTCTAGGTGTTTTTGTTTTAAAGAATGCGATAGGGAAAACGGTGAGAGATGCCGCAGAAACCGGCAGGTATGCCGGTATAATAATAATATCGCTCTTTTATTGGAATATATATGTCGTGGCCATATCGTAAAATTGACCATTTCATGAAATATAACATTATCTATTTGCCAGATCATGATGTGTGTTGGCCAGATCAATTATAACAAATCGTTTAACGATGCGACCAAGTAAACGCGTTGCTACTTCATGAAATGGTCAAGCATGTTTGATCAAATCGTAAAATATTTACATTAATTACCGATAGAGGCCCTGGAAACGCTTTGTTTCCATTCCAATACGACAGTTCTTAATAACACTTTTCGAATTAAAAATTCTAATAACTCGATACAAAATGACGTTGATATACTCGTTTTTCAAGAAACGGGGAGCATAACTGTTATTGGGTAGAATACAAAACCATAGCTTCCAAAAAGATCTTTGAACTCATTTATTTTGGATAAAGTCGATCAATGTGAAGTATACACCACTGTTATGTCCTTAAAAAATCAAACAAGTCTTCAAAGCGAGCATTTGAAAATTATAGCCGAGGACATAACAGAACCACTCACTTACCTAATCAACAACTGCTTTGAATCCGGCATATATCGCTCAATTTTAAAAAAAGTTAATATACTACCGATACATAAATCAGGAAAAAACAGATGGTAATAATTGTAGACCAATATCAATAATATCCAGTGTAGCAAAAGCTTTTGAAAAAGTTTATTCTACTAGAATGATTCGATATCTCACAAAATTTAGGCGCTGACTTGTCTGATCTAAAAAATGTAATTGAAAGTGATTTTGTCAAAATTATGCAGTGGTTTAATAGTAGGAAATTTAGCATCAACTATTCTAAAACACATTTTTTACCATTTGCCTCTGATTCTAGACATCTGCCAAATATTTTCGAACATTATACCATACACTGATTGAGCCTCATCTCACATAATGGTATATTAGCATGGGGAGCTACCTGTTACTCACATATCTGTAATTTAGATATTTTTCAAAAAAGTATTCTGAAAGTGATGTTTAAAAAACCGAATCTTTATCCCACTGACAAATTATACCCAGATTTACAAATGCAGTGGCGGATTTAGAGGGGGGCGCCACAACCCCCCCCCCCCCTAAAAGTCTGACACTTGCTTTTGTAATCTAACACCATTGTGTTACTATCTGACACACCATGGCGACAGAGGCATACTAAGTATAAGCTAGCTATAGGAACTGAGCAATGCGATTTTTTTTTGTATCCTTTGGTATTCCAAATGCTGTCCCTCTTTGACATCACTTGTTTTGCAGCACAATTCTTACGATTTATACGTATATACGAGTATTAATGACTTGTGACAAAGTCTGGGTAATCTATTAGCTATACAGATTGCACTTAAAATGTGATTCGTGTTCTGTTTGTTACTCAATAGTAATTTGGAAAGTGTGTAAAGCTTGACAGATTTTGTTCGGGGTTGGTGTTGCAGCGAAGCACTGTTAGATGAACGCATAAATTGCAAATAGACATTTATGAGATTTGTTTAGCGGTGCGCCTGTGGCCTGTCCAGAAACTGCGTCGATCGATGCTCAAAGTCCGTACCACACGTCCCTCATCTCTTCTCGCGTTTTTGTCCATTTATGTTGCTATATTGAATTTGTTTAAATCACAGAGCTGCTGTACTATACGTGAATATGTACAGCCCTGTATTCCCGTACTTGTTTCGTACAAACATTCATTAATAAAATAATTACGATCTAACAGATATAGTTTTTTCCAAGGATTTCCAACTATTATACCGCAAATCTAAGCTTGACAACGGAAGTCTGAAAAATAACTGTAACATCTATATTGAATTTCAAAAACCCCAACCCCTACTGAGCGGGGCCGTGGCAAATGCTTGTTCCGGAAGTTGTTGTATCCAGCATACAACGTCTTCCCGTTCAAGTGATTGTACACGCGTAGAGGAATCAGTGCCGATTGCCGGGTGGCGGTACAAGTCCAAAACAAAGAAATTCATGATGCTGGATCCTCGGGTACTAAGAATTCCGGACGTAAACTCACTCCACTCTCGGAGTGTCTGGGTGGAGGGTGGACTCGAGGTAACGACATCGAAGATAAAATTTGTTTGGCGAACATCTGCGGGATTAACAGCAACATTGATGATGTTCATCACTACTTACAATCCAATCGTCCCGCCATACGTTTGTTGGCGGAGACAAAAATCTCAGAGTCCGCACCGATTAACCAACTTAGCTTTCCAAATTACGAGGAAGAACGGGGGAGTTGTGGCCTTTGTCCGCAAGAGTCTCTCCTGCTGCAGAGATGTTTCTCTGGAATCAGACCGAAAGGACATTCTGTGGCTTCGCCTCAACTCCAAAGCATCCCCCAAATTTATTTGCTGCCTTTATCACTCTCCCTCGGGCCATAACTGGGATGACCTTCTTGAATACCTCGCCGTCAAGATTGACTTCCTGAACATTAATCACCCCGCTTCAGAGGTAGTTCTCCTCGGTGATTTCAATCACCATAATCTGCTTTGGTTGGACAAGCCCGATACAGCAGGTCGTGCAGATGAAGCGTTCGCTCTTACTCAAGGGCTGACCCAGCTGATGACGGGTCCTACTTTTTTCCCCTCGTCTCGTCACATGCCAGTAGCCTGCTGGATCTGTTTCTGACCACGCATCCTGTCCCTCACAGCACTGCTGTCCTGTCCCCTTGTGTAACTCAGACCACTGTGTTGTGGAGTTCAGGTTTCGGTCAGAACCCGCTGTAGCAGCAGAAACTCGCACAGGCCGCAAAATTTGGCATTACGGACATGCCGATTGGGAGGGGCTCAGAGATTTCTTCTATATTTTTCCTTGGAGAAGTGACTGCTTCACCGACGCGGAGGCGTCGGCTGTGTGTTCTTCGATAACCGAAATTATCCACGTCGGAATAGAGGAGTACATCCCTCAGCATACAGTGAAAGTGCCTAAACCAGGGTCCAACATCTGGTTTAACAAATCGTGTGACACTGCTCGCCAGCAGAAGATCAAGGCACACAGAACCTTCTTACAAAACCCCACTGTAGAGAACAAACTCACAAGCCGACGTCGAGTCCAGAAACAAATATGACGAAGCGGTGCGCAATGCCAAAAACCAGCACAATATAAGAGTTAGGCACAGGGTAATGTCATAGCGCAATGGCAGTCGGTCTTTCTGGACGCTGGCCAAGCAGATTGAAAATAACTTTTAGTAAACGACTTCCTCTCTGACGAGAGACCTGGAGGTTATTACTGCTTGGGGACGCAACAATCTTGTACAGTTTAATGCTTCCAAAACACAGTACTGTACCTTGACGAACAAAAAGCGTCCTAAAGCTCATCCACTTTCGATGGATGGCCGAGTTCTGCAAAAGAGCCATTCATTTCGACAGGTCGGAGTCCAGATCACCGAGGACCTGATCTGGCACGAATTCATCTCGTCAATAGCGGCAGCTGCTGGGAAAAAGCTAGGCTATTTGTTTAGGGCTAAGAAGTACTTTTCTCCGCATGACCTTCTCACCCTATACAAGGCCCAGATAAGGCCTAGTATTGCTCACACGTTTGGGGTGCTGCCGCTCCGACTACATCATTTATGTTCGATGCTGACCAGAGGAGGGCTGTCCGACTGATAGATGAACCAGACACACTACGACCTGCCGCTATCTGTATTCTTCCTCTTTTTTGTGCCACCGCTTTCTTCTCCACCACATAAAGCTAAACATACACGCTCAGGTTGACCGAAAGGTCATGATAAATAAGCACGTTACAATAACAATGAGATTTTGAGCGTAGCAACCTGAATTCTTAGAGAAATCTTTCATGGAATACATACCCGCCAAAACTCTTCAAGTCTGTATATTTCATATTTTCATGTCATGTGTTACGATGATTTAAAATAGGGTAGATGATTATCATTCCTTCACTCTGAAATCTGCCGTAGGTAATAAACAAGTCATGACAATTTTATAGATGAATTATGTATTGGTGGACATTTTGTATTTATGTGCAAAATTACTTCGATATATACTTTACCATACGCGAGAACAAATCATTGACCCTGCCTGGAATGAAGCTTTTCAAGCGCTGGAAGATTTTCGGTAGGTATTGGCGTCGTGTATCGGTAGAGTGTCGCTAGAGGAACAGAGGGACAGTTGATTATGATGTTTTCTGCTCCTTATAATAAAACTCCTTTTGCTTTAAACTCTGCATTTTACTAATTCAGTGATTCAACAAAATCACAAAAACAAAAACACGTCCAACGTGTATCAACATCAGCAAATCACCATATCCACAGAACTCGGAACATAAAAAAGGTATTCTACCGTCTGTCAGTGTCACACTGTCTAAGACCATAAAGCAAACAGAAACGAAAGGTTCACTCACTGTCAGCACAAAACATATAGAACTGGATTTATGTTTAGTTATAAGATTTTAGCGAATCTACTAATAGATTATGATTTGTTCACCAAAATATTCATATGATAGTAAGCATAAAATAGATGAATCTTATGGAAGGCAAATCTGTTGGCAGTTGGTTTTCGACTCAGAAAGTAGCTCAGCTTCACTAATTTATGGCATACGAACGCTTATACACACTCATATATAAAAACAAATGATCTCTATAACCGAAATTTTTCAGCCTAAATTTTTTTCTTAGTTGATAATATGGGTGTTCTTGTATTTCAATCATCTTATTTAACAAAAAACAACTGCCAGTTACAATATAAGCAAAACGCTCTTACAAGTCATTATGACAAATTTAATGCTTGATTACTTTTTGAAAAAGGATGAATCTGAATCTCCATAGTTTGTAAACCAGGCTGCTTTGCACGTTATTAGCGTGTATATCTAGCTTTACATACACCCT